ACAGCTCCAGCTCTGATGAAAACATGACATCCAAGTGGACACGCAAAAGTATAATTATTAATAATAATAATAATAATAATAATAATAATAATAATAATGTGGTTAGCCAATCGATGCAATGCACATATATCAAAAAACAGATTCATATTTATTGTGGAGTAATCTTTGTTATTCAGTTGACACTGCAGAGCATATGGCCACTGTAACTTAAATAAATTGCCTTCATAAGTTCAATAAGGCAGAGCTAGACCAAGTTGTCACCCGTGTTTATGAGATGTTTACTGATCCAGTGTAAGCAATCTGCCCTCTCATCACAAACTGATAAAGATTCCAGTCACACATCAGGCAAGGCACAGATATTATTTAGAATTGTATTTTTGAATAGTATTTTTGTAGAACTGTAGTTTACTCAAATGACAGAATTGCCCTCTGCCTTGCTGTAATCAGTAAGGTTTTTAGGTCAGTTTAGCAGTGCTAAAGTCCTGTGGCTGTGGTGAGGTTGCACTGTAATATGGATCCACAGGATAATCAAAAACATATATTGATTTCAATTAAGTCTGTATTGTGTGAGGGAGAGAATGGAGGTTAAAGTCATCTTCAAACCTATTTTCTGTTACATTGTACACCAATGTATTGGAAGGACAGTAATAATAGTCTGTTTGTACACCAGTGATGAATACAAATTCTGTATCACTTGGACAAAATTTCAGATGGGACAAATATGTGTCACAACCATGTATAGTAGTTTGTGTGTGTGTGTGTGTGTGTGTGTGTGTGTGTGGGTGGGTGTGTAGTTCAGGCAGGGCTTGGCAGAATATAGCGTGCAGGCAATTAAAACTGCTTATTAATGCTTTGTTAGACAACACTCAAGCTAATCCCATCATATGGCAGGCAGTGATAAGGGCATTTGCTTCTCTCTGCCTGTCTGTCTGTCAGTCTGCTGGGAGCAGATATGCTATCAGTAGTCTGCTGTAAAGGTGAACAGAGGGAGAGCCTTGAAGGCTCACTAATATTCTGATTCAGCTTTGGTCAGCTGGAGAAAAAGGGATCCTAGGTGAAGAAAAGGCCTTGGAGTGTACACTGTGTTATAGGTGCAGACATTCCACCAATTATCCCCAAATTAAACAAAATACATTATGTCGTCTGTCCTTGCCTTCTACAATGAGATGACAAATAAAATAGTTTTATTACATGACTTGGTTAAGTTTTGGTTATGTTGAGGCTAGGCTTAGGTTTATTACTATTTTTATTTTTATTTTTATGAGCAGAGGATGTGTAAGTGTTTTTGACTAGAGTTTTTTCCCCAGAACTCCCATTAATATACCCATCCAATAATATTTGATGTCTCCTATTGCAAAGGGAATTGCATAACCTCACTGCATCTTTCTTTCATCAACAACTGTGGAAAAATACAGCCTTGCAGCTATAAGAAGAGAGAAAAATACTCACTCTTTTTTTGCCCCATCGTGTCGCGCATGTCAGCACCCAATGATTGTGATGCGGTTGGAGAGTGTGCATGCAACTGGCAGCCTTGCCCAAGCTGGCAGGGAGGGAAAACAGATTACCATTTCCACAGTGTGTGTGTTGTTGGGGCCCCGGAGCTGACTTCAGAGTGGCTACTACCTCTGCTAGACTGGAGCTGTCAGGGCTGCTCCGCTCATGTCTGTGTCATCACTACAACTAACACTACTGCTGCATGCTCAGATGAGCAGACACAGACTATATATACGTTTGCATACTCACAAGGACATGCTGAATCACATGCATGCATGCATGCATGCACACAGACTCACACATGCTCAAAAACAAACATCACCATTATGATAAGGCTGAGGATGTGTCTGACCAGGTATAAAATCACACCCTCTTTGTTTCTAAATTTCTCTTGCGCGCTCTCACACACACACAAGAACAAACATACAGACACAAAAAGAGAAAAGAAACACTTTTTGGCCTCAATAATGTGTGTTCTACTCAGTTTATTTTTAGAGAAAAACTCACTTTCATTAACTTCCAGTGTGTAAAATTTAGGAGGATCTGTTGGCAG